TCACTGTACATTTTGCGCTCGCCCCAGCAGTTTTGCACCCCCGGAAAAATAGCGCCGGTAACCTTGAAATGGTCTTTTTGCCTTTAGAAAGCAAAAGCTTTCGCCACAATTGTAATTGGCTATTTGCTTGGATTAAATCTGGCAACACATGTGTTCATTTCAGTTTCCTTATACCCGAAGACTGAAGAATTCTGCTGTAAACAGCTTGAGTTTAAGGATAGTGAGGTAAAAGATAAAACTTCATCGGTTCTCTCTTTGCGTCGTAAGTTCGAAAAATATCAGTACGGTATACAGAGCTGCAAAAACACTTGACCATGGCGGTATACCATAGCCGCCATGTTTGTTCAAACGTCAAACTAGTACCCAGATCTCCCGGTATGAATGTTGCAGGCAAAATATGAAATCGCCGATTGTATTCCTCAGAAAAAAATCCTCGAGTTAAAAAAAAATCGAGTCAACACTTTAATAGCATCTAGTTCAAATATAATTCAGAGAGAATAGGCTTCCGTTGTAATGATATACTTCAGTTTACATTTCTTTACGCTTAACTCCATGAGATGTTGCCAACCCCATGCCTATTGATTATCAAGATCTGGCTGGAACACATAATGGTTAGCTGGATAGTTTAATCAAAGTATTTACATAAGTTTTTATAGTTTCTGATCTAACGAAAATTTGCGAGCGGCGATTATCTAAGCTCGTCGTAGCCTGGAAACTACTAATTTTCTTTCAGCGCGGCGGTTACTAAGCTTAATTGATTCAATATGGCGACAGGCGGAACGTCTGTGCAATCGACAGAAGAAGACGCTACAGAACTACAGTTTCCCAAAGGTTTAGTCTGTCAGTCTTTTTTTACGATTGTGCGAAATATGTCTATTTAACGTACTGGTTAAGTAATTAAAGTGTATATTTACCCATAAATGTAGAATTTGAAAGTGCGGAAACATTGTTAAACTCCGAAGTGTACATGTTGCTGGAACACAGAAAGACGCAAAACGAAGGAGCAGAAGAAGAGCAAGAACTGTCGGAAGTTTTCATGAAAACACTTAACTACACACAGAAATTTAGTCGATATAAAAACAGGGAAACCATCGCTCAAGTCAGAAGGTAACAGAATGAAATTAATTCAATGATAAGACACATAAAAAGGAACCTCAGAGTAAGAAAATACTTAATCTTTTAACTCCCGAGATCGGATTCTTAACTCTCAAGATCGGATTCTTAACTCTCCCCTCTAACTGCTACACAATTCCTTGTTAATTAGTTATGAGAATTTGGTGTTAGATCAAGATTTCAGCTTTTCCCTGATAATTTTGGGCCTTCTCATTATACCTTTATGCTAGGTAATGTATGGATGTTAGCAGAAGAAGTTATGTCAATCACTTGCGGGAGTTAAATGGTTACATTTTTTGATGAGATCCAGGTTCTGGCCTCACCAAAGTTATGGGATAAAACATCAGGAGACATGCTGACCTACAGTTAGCTTACTAGAGTCCAGGTTGTGCAGGTCTGGGTCAAGGTCCTGGGCAGGTCATCGTGTCATATCAAAGACACTTTACTTTCAGAGTGTCATCACCACAAAGGGATATGAATGGGTACACAGGAATTGTCAGGGCGTCCAACATAATATTAGGTTTGTCAGGAGGTGGAATGAGGTTTGAAACTGAGGCAAGATTAGGGTACAAGAAATTTGTAATGCAAGATGCTGGAAGAAAATGGGAAGGCAAGACTGGGATATGCTCCATTTGAAGGCAGGTTAGGTGACAGGAAAGGTATAGGTTAGTTCATGATTTAGTTCAAGTTAGGAGTCACATAACTTAAGAAACATTAAAAAGTATCCGTTGGCTTTATAAACAGGCTTGATCTGGAAAAACCACACATCAAAAGACATGAGACAGTGGATGTGTTGCTGAGTCCAGCATGAAACAAAAGAAAAGAAATTGCTTGTCTTTGGCTCCAAAATACATTTTAATGCATTCTAAAACTCATTTTGCCTTATTAGGGCAATGAGATTGTTTAGGCTATAATTTGTCCATCAGTTTAAATGAGGCATTGAACTAGAGCCACTTGGGTTTAACCAGGTAGGATCAAGATAAAAATGTTCATAACAACAGGCTAGCTGAATGGAATAAAAAAAGAGCAGCGAGATGCGGAATTGGAAAAGTCTTTGGAATCCGGCTTGTCAGGGGGTGGGGGATACTAGCCTTGGGACAGAGCAGCATCCGATCCTGTGATAAGTAACAATATTTATGATCACCTCATGCTAACAATACCAAGATTAGCCCCAGCCAACATAAAATAACATAAAATTTAGCCATCTTAACCCTACAACCACCAAGAGTGACCAAGACAGAATTTCTCCTTACAAAACCAAAAAAATTTGAAGCAAACAAGTAATGACAATAAAGAAAAACATCAATTAGGGGATTATTAGTTGATCCAATACCAGATTCTCATAACTAACACCATAGGAATTGTTTAGCAGACAGCAAAGAGAATTAATAAGAGATCTTGGAAGTGAAAGGGCCAAGCAGTACCTCCTCTCACTGCGAGAACACTTCCAATACCAAGATTCTTAGCTCGAGTAAGATGCTCCAACACTTGACTTCTTGTTGTGTTTCTGGATGGGATGTGAATCATGATATTCTGTCCATACAAGTCGATCATTGCTGCAGAAACTAACAATGAGCTAGGCTCTGACTGACACTTATCTGACATTGGTTCTTGAGATGGTTTCCAAGTGATGTCACAAAACAGAGGTGTACAGTGTTCATGTAATCTTCCAAGTATTGCCATGAGGTTTGTTGCTCCATTGAAAGTCTTGGGTGGATAAAACTCCAAGGAAAAGAACTGTTCATTCTTTGCCATCTTACACCTGATGGTGTCAATAAGTTTTTCAGGCTTTGGTTCTCTTTCACTTCCCTGCTGTGACATGACTGTCTCACTCTTGAACTAGCTAATCATAGAATATTCACACAGTCCTAACAAGATTTAATGAAGACAAACACCAATAAATTATTTGATTTATTAAATAAACATCATCCTTTTAGCTACCCACAGTTCTATTTTACCAGAGGGGCTCGAGACTTACTGTATCATCAGATCTATGGATTATCTGATCAATCATTCTCCATTTTGGACGCCAATTTTTTTTTTCTTACCACGTTTTGACATTTTCTGAGATCTAATACTCAACATATGCATGGCAGCATGGAATCTATTTGTTAAAAGATTATTATGATATTACATAATACTGGTTAAAACCCTCTAAATGGTACTATGATTTACGGAGAACCATTATTGCTCTTCAAATAACTTGTGGATTTGACCAAATTCTGCTCCAATATATTAAGTTTTATCTACTCTACCTTTCAGTTTTTTTCTAAAAATTTTACATATTCTATCAAACTATTCCTTGGCCAGGATCGCATGTTTGAAAAAAATCTTTCAAATATATATAGTTAATGCAGGCGGTTTGTGTTCGGCTATCAAATGAAACTAAACGCTTGGGCAATTTGTTTGATAGGTTAATTTCTACAGGAATGCGATTTTCTTGGAACGGTATTCGCTTTTAAACAAATCACTCTATCTGAAACTTCCCATGGCATGAAAACATTGAAATTTGAGCGGAAAATTGATATGTGCGACATGACCTTAAATGTTGAGATTGTCTGGCACTAAATATGCAAATAACATTTCAGATCTCGGTGACAATATTAAGTACATGAAATACACAAAATCGTACCTTTTTATGCAGTATTCGAATAAAGTTCACTTTTGTCTTTCCATTAAGAATGTCTTAGGCAAATTTGTAGGAAAGAGTTTGTGCAGTTGCACAATAAATTCAATTAATCGCTCCAGTCCCTCGCCATCATCTGAGGGACCAGGCCCTTCTCACGCCCCCTGTTTTTACGGGAGGAGTCATGCGAGGGACGTCTTCAAATGAACAAGAGGCCTTAACCCACTTTGTGTTACTTTACACTCTAGTAGTTTTTTTTCATAATTTACATGGCGACAGGCGGCGTAATGAAGCTAGTCGTCCGTACACATGGCCGCGCTAGCTTTATTGTGTTCATGGTGGAGTTGCCCCCGATAAACACCGAGGGAAATGTGAGAAAAAAGGAAGACCCAGAGCCACACAAGATATTTGTGACGATAGCAGGTCTATGTATACAGCGGAAAGTTAACTTTTCAGCAAGGAATTCTGTCATTTGCCTTCATCCACGAAACGAAGTGTCAGCGTTATAAAAAAGTTGGGATATCTCACAATAAAATAAGACCAAGATTTAAACTTTCCCCAAAATCCTTCTTTCCTTTGTCCTACGCATTTAAATAGTTAGGAATTTAACCTTTTCTTCCTCGCTTGATCCCAGACATGCGTTCGGAAATCCCCCTCACTGTTTTCAACTCTCGTGCATGCGCAGAGTTTGACCGCTGTGTTTATGGTACCATGTTTGAGCAACTTCGTAACCCTGCCGCAGATACATAGCGGCCCAGCCTTCAACTCCAACGGGCAAAGCCTAAACGCGCGGCTGGCAAACAGCAGTTGGTTCGGTAATCAGCATCAATTTTCATCTTGCTCAGGCCCTGATTCGCAACTGTTTTTTACTAACGAAAATATTTTTGAGGCAATTTCGCAAGCCATTATTCATTGCCCGGTGGTAAAGGTTTGGAAGATTTTAGTTGTGTCGTAATATAATTTACCTAGACCTATCCTGGTATTCTAATGATTCCCCCATCGGCAGTCAATGTTCTATAATGGCCCCCTTGATACTCTGTTTTCGACGACTGATGCCCCCATCCGATCCCCCTGACCACCATGTGATGCCTTCAAACCCCCCCCCCTCCTTCCCATGGCGACACGTAAGTCTCGTACTGGTGCCTTAAATTGACCAATATTCCCTATACCTAAAGCACAAGGACAGCCCTTCTTGGGGGACCCCACCCCTTTTATCCCGTAACATCCGCTCTCTCCCCCCCACTCCCCAAATCATAAACCCCAGCGGTGGGTGAATATGCTTAGGAGAGAAAAAAAAAAAAAAGAAAACAGCCCTCTTGCTCTGATAATGGAAGTTGTGTTTCGGTTCCCTCGCCGAAGTCTGACATGTGGAGAAAATCTTTTCAGTGTCCGACAAATTGTGTAAAACTGCGGGAGTTCTTTCTATGTTACCCGGTGTCTGAAGACTTGAGTCAGTCAGTGCTAATTCATCAATTAGCGCCAGGAATGATAATGATGCATCAGAGTAAGACACATTTGTCGCACGCCGGGCCCAGTAGGACGGAGAATTACTTTTAAAAATGTATCGATTTTCCGTAAACTGAGGCTGTTTGGCTCAAATCGGTGCATTTCAAAGGGGCGTTGCAATGTTTTTTTTTTTTTTTGTGTACACGAATCTGATACTTGTCAGGTCTGTTTAATTTAAAAGAGGGCTAAGGTTTCAGAAGTAAGTACTCATTTCCGGTTTAGGTGTCTAGAAATAGAAAGCACAGTTCTTACAGACTAGTTAGTTATTTTCATTTGGCAACCACTTAGTCCTGAACTTTGGCACAAAATTGTTGGCAAGACGAATTCTCTTCGTGAGATCGTTGTGATGACTTGTGTTTCTCTATTACACCTTCGTAGCATGTTCAGAATTCGACGGATCTTGTTGCGAGCATGGCTGTATAAACACTTTGGCAGGAATTCATTGTATCTGCAGAAGAGGTTTCAGGCTTGTTGATCGCTGTCAATGCAGAGGTAAGCTTTATTACAAGTGATTTTGAAACTTTAAAACTTGTAGTATGCCATAGAATAAGAACGTGTCTAAAAGTCCCGCATTGCCAAGCACTATAAACATTAACAGTGCTGACTTCAGTAATACATTAAGAACAACCTATTGTGCGCGCTAAACTCATCAACAGATAGAGCTCGAAAATCTGGAATTCAGAATCCCGCCGGAATTTTTTAAGGTCTGTTTTTTATTCAAAATAACTCCGATTATTTTACCGAAGAGCGTACGAGTTCCGAATATACTCCGAAGACTAGCCAACGATTATTGGAGGTTTCCGAGGTTATCCGCAGATCCCTGAATTTTTTAAGACTTTTTTTTCGTTGGCGGTGGTGCACGTGAAGTGCAACGTCATCAATTGCATAATGTGCACTTACTACAGAAAGACATACATCGTTGAAACAGGAAGACGATCGACTAGGTTACCGATTTCGAGAACACCATCCCGACGTAGAAAGGAGTGACAAGGATGCATCAAAACCAGTCTCTAAACACTTTAATCTACCTAATCGCTCTAAGTGTAGCATATGGCAATTTGCTGTCTTTCCTTACATTTAGATAGCTCGGAAAGACCCACAGTTCCTCCATTTGCTTTGACGAAGGGCTAACGCTCGAAACGTCAGCCTTTTTAACTCTTTACGGTGGCCAATTTACAATTTCAACTAAGTTGATATAACCAAATTACCTTGTTCCCCCCACAGACGCAACACCATAGTTTCTTTAGAAACTTATCCCCTTAACTTATATCGTAGATGTGAATGTGCCAATGGTTACTAAGCGCGCCTTGGAAACCCGACGATGCGTAGACTTGGATGAGTGTAAGATGGCAAAATTTCAACTTTACGCCGTAGTTTTATAATAGAGCCAGCCTGTCAGAATACACTTGTTTTTCGCAACTCGCGATGCTTGCAATTGCTAGCGATGAATAATCAAGATATTTTCTTTGATCATCTGGTTGTAGTCAAGGCTGTGAAAATACTCTTGGTTCTTTTAAATGTTTTTGTCGCCGAGCAGGCTATGTATTAGATAAATAAATAAATAAATAAATAAATAAATAAATAAATGATTTAACAATGGACATCCACTGGGTGGCTATTCTTGTCCACTGTTATTAGATTCAGATCAACGATCATGCAAAGGTGACTTTCATAGATGGTGTACCTCAACTTTTAAAAACTACTTTTTGTCTAAAAGACCGATTGACTGACCGGCTAACTGACTGACTGGCTGACTGACTAGCTGACTGACTGACTGGCTGACTGACTGGCTGACTGACTGGCTGACTGACTGGCTGACTGGCTGACTGACTGGCTGACTGACTGGCTGACTGACTGGCTGGCTGACTGGCTGACTGACTGGCTGACTGACTGGCTGACTGACTGGCTGGCTGACTGGCTGACTGACTGGCTGACTGACTAGCTGGTGGGCTCAATGATTGACTAAATGACTACTGGCTGGCTGGCTGACTGGGTCTCTGAACGACCGACGAACTGACCGACTTTTTAACGACTCTGATCTGAGAGGCAGACTTCCATTTCGCTAAATTCAATTTAGCGAAGTTGATATATGATCCAACACCTTGATTTTCTTTCCCCTTCTCTTATTTCCTATTGCCTAGAGTAATTGAATTTCTGCCTTTGATTATCTTCTGATTATAACTTACTTCCCATAAGATTTCTCTCTGTCAAATGGTTATTTCCAGGAAAAAATCAGGGAATTGAAAACCACTAATTTTGATGCCCAAGTTCAAGAATCTCCTCCTGCCGAGAGTAACTCCCTG